AGCGATGGTGTTGACGAGGGTGGTAAGCTGTTGGAAATAGCTGCGAGAGAGGGCGGCTGACTTGACGTGACAAGCGATGGTACAGGCGAGGAGATCGCCTTGATTTGGGTCTGTCCAACTTTGACGTGCGTAATGCCTGGTGGTGCATTTTTGCCCTTTGCAGTACGTATTTGAACCGTTGCGGGTCGGCTAATTTGTGTTACTGTTGGAGCTCTTATATGTACAATATTCTGTGGATAAACAATTGCTTCAAACCAATTCAGCAGTCAAATGTCTTTCTATTAACTCACCGCTTGGTTCGGCGCAGTAGGGAGTTGCGCATTTGACTGATGTATGGACGCTGGAATGGGTCCTCGGATTTGGGCATTGACAAGTCGAGGCCCGCTGGTGGGACCTTGTATACGAATTCCACCCTGCTGCTTTGTGATCGTCGTATGTCCAATAGGTCGGGGACCACCTGGGCCACCAGGCGAAATCATTCTCACTTGCGTCTGTCCGATGGTAGTCGTTTGATTTTGACTAATGGGGCGTATTTGCGCTTGAATTTTCTGTAATAAATAAATACAAAATGAAAAAAGGCAAAATAAAACAAAAAATGTAAATAGTGAGTGCGCTAGCTACACTAGGAAACTGAAGCTTCTCTCTATACATTAGCTGTACAAGCTAACCCTCATATTATGAATTCAAACGATACAAGATAAACCCTTGCATTCTGTTGTTTCATATTATGAATCGACCATTCACTAAAAGTTCATAATACAAAAACTGATTTCATATAATAATATGGTATTTTCCGTAATAATTGTTTGATTGTTGTTGTTGTCGCTAAAGAAGTTAAACTTCAAAAACATCTATTCCAAATTGATTACTTACCGGAAACTGTTGTAAGGTAGTCAAACCGGCTACATGTTGCGGTGGGGGCTTAATGCCTTCAATTACAAGTTCCCTAGTAAAAAGCGCCTGACGCAGCAGCGGTAAACTTTTCTGTAAGCAAATGAGAAAATATTCCATTGTAATTTCAACTCGAATATAAAATCGCTATGGTGTAATCTCTACTACTAACCTTCAAAAATCCAATTAGACAAGGTTGTGGACTGGCATTTAACAGTCGTTCCAGCCGATCGCAAAACTCCTCTGGCTCAACGTTCGCATTTACCAACTCTTGGATAAGGTTACGCACATTCTTTTCCACCGGCTTGGGTTCGCGCGTTGCCAAATCAATTAAGTTAGCCAAGAACTTTCGACATTTCTCTTTGGTATTTCCTTGCGCAGCGCTTTGCGTTGTCGCCATAGTTGGTGTCCCCGTCGTTGTGCCGGCACTTGCCGTGGACACCACCGCGCTGTGGTTGTTACTCATTGTCGTTGTGTTCGAAGTGCCCGTAGAGGCGGTCGCACCGGCTGAATGTTGTGCTGGAATTGTTTGTATTTGGGTTATCTGGGGCTGAGGGAGCAAATGTTGCGTCTGCTGGTGGATTTGTTGGTGGTGTTGCGATTGCAGATGCGATTGCTGTTGTTGATGTTGCAGTGTGGTCTGATGATGCTGAGGCTGCTGCAATGTTATATTCGCTTGGGACGTGTATGAATGATGTGGGCCGGCAGTATTCGATGCAACGGAGTTCACAACAATATTATTGGATGTGGACGAGGACACTGCCATCGACTGCAGACGCACCAAAAATAAATCAATTAATTTAATTGGTCTACGCAAATCATGAAAAAATACGCAACTTAAACAAAGGTGAAAGAAATGAATGAAATCACAAAGGAAAAAAAGCAA